GGTCCCCCCTGGTGAGTTTGTAAAAGGCTACCAGATCCCCTCCCATTCTTCTCTTGTGGAGGCTGAATAGGTTCAGGCCCTTTAGCCTCTCTTCATAGGGCCTGCCCTGCTGCCCCTTGACCATGCGAGTAGCCCTCCTCTGGACCCTCTCAGTGCTGGCCACATCCCTCTTGAAGTGCAGCGCCCAGAACTGGACGCAGTACTCCAAACATTGATGTTTTACTGCAGGACTAATTGGTCGTCTCTGACATAAATGTCTATGTCTCTGACATAGATGTACCCAGTGAATCTCATATCAATTCTTCCATTCATTGTGCACTGAGCTAGAGAGGAAGAAACTGAGCGCTAGAGTCTCTAGCCCACTGACTAGGGCAACTCCCTTTGACAGGTGGAGTTTACACCCTACCTGTGTCATCAGCATTTCTACCTGGAGAGCTTAGGCAGGTACTCACAAAGCTCGCTGATTTGTTTTGGATCAATGCATGGGAGGGTGCAATGCACTCTATGAGTTAGGTTCTTTACTATGTGCCTGTGCCTGGCTTGTTGGGCACTTCTACATGTGATTTGGGCATGGGAAGGCAGTGTTTTAATTCAAGCAACTCTGAGATCTGCTGTAATTAAAGTGCTACAGATCTTTTACTTTAGTTCAAGTGCCCCCACCACTATTTTCAAGTGCGGGGATGCTGATACACGAGATGCGAGAGACTGCTGGAGCACAGTAGTTGCCACAGTCCAGCAGACCTCATTAATTGAGTCTTTGATGCGCTGTAATTACAGCATGTCAGATCACATTGGCGACATATAGGGGGTGCACGTGGGTGCATGTGCACCCCCTGAGTGGGTGCACCCCCTATGAAAAGGTGCCACCAACACAGTGCAATCACTGCTTGGCACCCCCCCTTTTTACCACTGACACTGCTGGTGGTGTCTGTGGATGGTCTGTGATCGCTGCTGGCCGCTGCTGAGACTGCCGGCGGCGTCTGTGGGTGGTTGCCAACTGCCAGTAGGTGCTCGCCATCCACCCTCCCCCGCACTACTGCCCCCTGCTCACTGCCACCACGCTCCCACCACCAACAGCACCACCACCACCTGCAGGAGCTTGCCATTCCCCCCCAGCCTCTGGAGGCACGCAGCGTTCATGTTGGATCAGCTCCATGCTCATGTACAGGCATCCATCATGGTGAGACCTGTGGAAGAATGTCTTACATTCAAAAGCTTGTTTAAATGTATCCCAACTACCTAGAAGTCCAATAAAAGGCATCAAAGAAATCCTTGCCCCTCACAATTTCTGTATCATCATGGCTACAACATCACTCTGACGTTGTCATAATTCACCCTGTAAATTGTCTGGAGAGGGCTGGGCATCTGTCTTAGACTTGTGAATACCACGGGGTGACAGAACACTTCAGAGCAAGACATGACAACACCCAAGCCACACTATGGATTTACCCTCTGGAAAATAAGCCTTATTGGCTGTCAATGGAGCAATATGTAGAGACCTGTACTAAGTGACATGGTCAGGTAGCACAGCAAGTCGACAACAGAGCAGGGGCTTAAAGACCAGCCTCCCATGTCCTAAGCTACTGTAATGACTTACGTGGTAATCACCCTTCCTCTATAAATTAGGACCCTTGTGAAAGAAATCTGTCAAGGTCAGCTGTTCTTAGGTGCTCTGTTATCTAAATCAGACAAGAGACTTATCCTTTACATGTGTTTTTTTAGAGTCATCTGGGAAACTTTGTGGGGTTTTGGCAAAAATATTTCATTGATAATAAAAATGGTTTGATTTAATCATTTTTAGAAGGTTTAAAAAAAAAAATACCCCCCTCCAAACTCCACAGATTTGGGGCTTTCAATTTGCAAGGAGAATATTAAAATATTGATACAAATGGAAACCTTCTTATGAAAATTTGCATTGAATCAAGAAGCCTTTTTGCATCAGAAAAAAAAGTCTTTGAAAACTTTTTGACCAGCTCTGTTTTATTAGGATCCATGACAGAGATGAGCAAAAAGAAGGGAGTGGTTTCTCATCTAGGCATTCAAATCTGTACTCCATTAGTTTCAAAAGAATTCAGCTTCCATTTGTGGGTCATCTCTAATTAAAAAGATGATTTGCTTTACTTTCTTTCTAGGCAGAGAATCCCTGAATGTCCTTGTTCAAAGCCACATCTGTGCAAAGTTGCTAGGAGCACGTTCCAGCTGTGATTGACATGTGCTAATTCCAGAGTAATTGAGTAAATATTCTTAAAGAATTATGGACGCAAAGATTAAAAAAAAAAAAAAAAAAAAGGCTATTATTAAGCAGCACAGGAATGAAAGCCTAGAGAACACAGATGAATGAGAAATTCCTAAGATGTGAAAACACAGGAGTTGGGTGTTTGCTATTCACAGGCATTCAACCTATTAAAAGTGGTGGTTTGACTGCCTTTACCTAGGACATCCTAATGAAGCCTGGACATTTAGAAGTCAGAAGTTCAATAAATACATTAGTTTCCATTTTTAAAGGTTTTCAAATACTGTTTTCTCCCTGGAAAGTGCTACAATACCTGTCCTTATGAACACCCTGACACTGTAACCTGCACTCCTCTTAGTAGATATCCCAAGTGAAATCCTGGCTTCATTGAAATGGATGGTTTTGCCCTCTCGTACCCCTTCCTAGCTGTATGAACATCCCTGGGCCATATGCAGTGTTGGGTGGAAAAGCTGTGCTGATAATGAGACAACTCCATGACATGATATGCGTATGCTTAGGCCACAGCCTCAGCACAGCTGGAGATACTCCCTCCAGAGCACATCCTGCCCATCCACCCCCGCTCACATATGCCAAGCTGAGGCAACAAATCTATTTTGGAGGCACCCCCATCCTGCTACAGCTCTCCAATGTGGTGATGTCTGAGATCTTCACAGGGCAGCATTTCCAGGTGGATGTGTTTGAGGGGCAGTGTGTGTGTGGGGTGCCTGGCAGCAGACACCTCTAACATTAGTAGGATGTAGTGTAAGCAATGCCCTATGCCAGCAGGGGCCAACCTTTTGGCAGGCATGCCACCAACTAACCCTGAACCAGCCCCAAGCCACTCCAATCCCCTTTCCCCACCCAATCTGCTGCTCTGCCTTCCTCTTCTTGCCCTGTGCTCCCTGCTCAATCTCCTGCTCTGCTTTCTGCTCCCTGCCCTATTAGCTGCTGCACTACTGTGTTGCCTGCCCCCTCCCTGATCTGCCATGTGCCACCCCTGCCCGATGTGATTTGCAAGGATTGTGTCTGTGGTATTTGCTGGAGATGGTTAATTGCCAGCCAGCTCACTTTTCCTTAAAGCCTAAATCAGTGCACCTACTGTCAAATCTACTCAAATTGCTGCTCTCAGCAAAGAATATCTTGCTGTCCTCTCAGATTTGCTTTTGGGGGCTATTTCCTTCCCTCCTCAGCTCTCAGGTAAACTTTACTTAATGGCAAAGCTGAGGCAGGGGGAGAAAAAGTTTAAAGCACAGCAAACAGCACAGAGCCTATACAATTACTTGTTTATTGCATCAAAAGAAGAATGCTGGTTAGGAGGAAAAATGACAGCTTGTAAACATCTTCAGGGCTTGCAAGCTGAAAATATTGGGATCTGAGCAGCAAGAAGTGAATTCCACTGATAGGTTCATTGGGGGATTTGAGTCCTGTATGACTGGTGTCGTGGCCTTGAGTTGAATGATGACAGGGATGTGAAGAGTAGCTGATGTAATGGCTTGGATAAGCATTGTGTGTGGCTCTCCATCACCTTGCCCCTTATTTACAGTACAGGAAAGTGGATGGTAAAATGCTGCTTAATCAGAATTCCTTGCGCTGCTGTCTAGTGCCTCCCAGACCCAGTACAATGTTTGAGAAAATGCTAAGTCCCCTCAAGGACTTATACAGCAGCTTTTGAAAGGTGTTTACAGGAACCATGATGGAGAGCAGAGTATAATATTTGCAAGCAGTGCTTTCAGCTGACAACGGAGATTGCAAAACGCTGCCATTTCCAGAGGCATGTCAGGGGGCCCTAAGAAACAGCCCTCCCTGAGCTAATTACCTAGGTAGCCACACCTGCCTTGCATCTCTAATTGACAAGCTCTGTCCAAGTTAATTAACTGGCTGGCTTCCTGCTTGGCTGCTGGGAGTGCAGCCTACCCATTTAGTCCCAGCTGTGGCAGCAGACTCCAGGGCAGCCAACAGTTCTGACCTTGGCCTGCTTTGGTAAGCCCTCCTGGTTCCTGTGCTGTCTGGCTTTTCCTGGTTCCTGACCCTGGTTCCACTCTGTTCCAAGTTTCTGGCTTTAGACTTCCCTTTGGATCTGTTTCCTGTCTGTTTTGGCTCTGCTCATGGACCTTGTCTTGTGGATTTCCCTGTGTCTGGTAATTTGGCTCCTGAATCCTGTCCCTGCCTTGCATCAGTGACCTAACCTCTGGGCCAGACTGCCTGTGACCTGATCCCTTACAAGGGCACCAAAATAGCTGGTTATACCTAGGCAGAAATGCCAGATTATGGGGGGGAAGACCTGCTGAATAAACTTTACCTGACCCTAGAGACTCACAGACCACAGCTACTGTTGCTGTAGTGCAGACTCCCTGCACCCTGGCTCTTATTGCTATGGCATGGGCTCCCAGAGAGCCACCCTTCTGGTTCCCCTGATAAATTGGTGGCCCAGGCAGTCTTCATATCCAACTCCTCTCCCCACCACCCCAAGTTACACAACTATGTGTAGCAAATACTGTGCCTGAACACAGGCCTCCACAAAAATAAATGTGACCTCCACAGAATAGACAGACTACAAAAGTGGGCAGATGAGAATAGGATGGGGTTCAACTTGGACAAATGCAGGGTGCTGCACCTTGGGAGAAGGAATCCACAGCATACATACAGGCTGGGGAGTTCCCTTCTTGAAAGCACAGAGGCAGAAAGGGATCTTGGAGTCATTATTGACTCCAAGATGAACACGAGCCGCCAATGCCAGACCGCAGCCAGCAAGGCCAGCCATACCTTGTCATACATCCAAAGGTGCATCTCAAGCCGGTCCAGAGAGGTGATACTCCCCCTCTGTGCGACTTTGATCAGGCCGCAGTTGGAGTACTGTGTCCAGTACTGGGCACCGCACTTCGAAAGGGATGTGGCCAGCCTGGAGAGGGTTCAGAGGGTTGCATTACATTTATATTCACCCGCTTGGTGAGAGGGCAGCAGGACAGGCCCTACAAGGAGAGACTGAGGGACCTGAACCTGTTCAGCCTCAGCAAGAGGAGGCTGAGGGGGGACCTGGTGGCTGCCTACAAGCTCATCGGGGGGATCAACAGCAAATAGGCAGAGCCCTTTTCTCCCCAGCACCACCTGGGGTGACAAGGAACAATGGTCATAAGCTGATGGAGAATAGGTTTAGGTGAGAGATCAGAAGGCAATATTTTACAGTTAGGGTGGCCAAAATCTGGAACCAGCTTCCCAGGGAAGTGATCTTCGCCCCTACCTTGGGCAAATTCAAGAGGAGGTTGGACAATCACCTGTCTGGGGTCTTGTGAACCCAGCATTCATTCGTGCCTGTGGCAGGGGTCAGGCTAGATGATCTGTTCAGGTCCCTCCTGACCCTACCTACTATGCAACTATGAATCATGGGAGAGACCACAAGGCGGGATTGCATCACATTGGCTCTGTGTATTTCCGACTTCCTTTCAGTTGCATGGACGCTCCTGTTTCACTCCACTTTGGCTGCTAAATCTCGCCTTAAGGAGGCTGCTCAGCACTGGGGACTAATCTGTGCACCAGAAGACAAAAGAGGGTGACTAATGAAGGTACTATGATGTTGCCTTTGGCACATCAGCAAATAAGCTATTTGAACAGTGTTCGGCTAAGCTCGGCCCCCAGCAGAATGCAAAGTCTGTTTCCAGTAATTATGTCCCATGCTACATTAATAGTTAACCTCCTCCAGGCTCTGTTGCGGGCTAGGGGTATTACCTTTAAAATGTGTTTTCATTGGGTTCAGGAATAGGTTTGAATATAACAGCATGTTTGTCTTTTCAGCAGTACTATTAACCTTTCCTGGGACAGCACAGAATCTATTATAACACTAATGGCCAAATCAATACTTTTTTTGCATTACATTTATATATGCCCTCTTCCCAAGGCACACAGCAGAGAGAAAGCTAATGCTCCTCATAAGAGGTGTGCAATTTTCCTCATAGTAGTCTGCACTCTCACTTTTTTTCCTCCTATAGCCACCACCTTCATTTTCATAGAGTTGTCTGAATCAGTAGTCCTTATACAGCACGGAGGGCAATGGTTTGCTGGGGACCAGTTGCGGAGGTGACATGTTTGCTTGTTCCCTTATGATAGGAGTACAAGTCCTCACCACCTCTTGCCACTTGGGCATTGTGGCGCATTACAGCTTCCATGTAGAGGATGGACAAAAATCCCTAAGAAACTTTACAAAGTTCAAATACATAAAGCTGAAGGCTAGAAGCATCCAGTGAGCTTCTAGGTTGGTTAACCAAAAAAAAAGTACTGAAGTCAACATACGATTTTTTGAAAACACTCGGGATAAAAAGCTGATACTCGCTTACGTCCACCATGGCTTGTTTGAAAAAAATCTGTGATGTTACCCTGGGCATAGCTAGACCACGGGGTCACTAAAAATAAATAAGTTGCCTTCAGTCTCTTTCTTTTTTTCAGGGGCTGTTGCTGTATGTATTTGGCCTAGCTCCTGTATGCCATTTAAAAAGCCTTTGAATTAGAGCTGGGTGGAATTTTTCTGACATAGTTTCACCACAGGCAAGTGCAGATTCAGGTTAACTAAAAGTGTTCACAGATTTCTGTTGAACCCAGTAAATAGTTTTAGTTTCAAAAAATAAATGAAAAGAAGAGAACATTTTTTGGAAGGTACTATGTTTGAAATAAAATGTTTTGATTTATCATCTTGAAAAGATGCTTTGCTTTTAAATTTACCTAAAATTAATTTTAGAAGAGCTAAAAAAAAGGAAAAAGTGCCCCAAAAGGTATTTAAATATTACTTGAACTAACCTTTTAAAATTTTAGTTGGTGACTTTCTACTTTGATTAGAACTAGACAAGACTTTCTGAATATAAAGTATTGACTACACGTTTCATCAAAAGTTTGACTTTTTATCTTCTTTTTTTTTAACCCACTATGTTTGGTCCCCAGCCCATGCTGAGGCTCCTTATGAGATCAGGCCTTTGTGTTTCCTGTTTTTTCAGTTTTTTGTGCTTAGAAAGAGAATTGGGAAGAAAGGGAACAAGCAGTTATTTTCAAATAGAATAATCTCCACCCAAGCAAAACTGAGCAAACTCTTCTTCATAAATGATGTGACGAATCTAGTCCTGCCACCGGATCATTTGTGAGTACACTTCTTGCTTTAAACAAATTTGTTTCCTGTGTGATCCTCTCATTTACATTGTCTGATTTCTAGACTGCTAGTTGTTTGTGAACTGTCCACTGATACTCTCCTTTTTGTTGTGTGAATGGTCACTTGATCACATGATCCTGCTTCTGTTTCCTGACTGGATGACAAACTATATAACCAAGAGAATATGAATCACAACCACAAACAGTGAATAATCTGCTTGCATGCAATCCCCCCCGCTGCGAGTCGTTATAAGGCCTACTGAAAATCTCAGTATAAAGAAGATTAAATGGTGCTTAAATAGTGTATAGGCTTTCTGCTGGCCTCTTCATGGCGTGAATTTTACTTCCAAACATTGGTGATGCATAGGGGGTACACGCGGGTACACATGCACCTGCTGAGCATGGCGGTGCACACCCTGCAACAGTGTCGGCGGCCACTGCTGGTGGCATCTGCGGGTGGTCCATGATCACCACTGGGCACCGTCGATGCTGTCAGTGGTGTCTGCGGGTGGTCGCTGACCACTGGTCAGCACTCGCCACCCCACCTGCCTCCTACTGCTGACAATGCTGCGGCTGCCTGCAGCAGCTCTCCATTTTCCTTCACCACGCTCCCACCACTGACAGTGCCGTCAGCACTTGCGAGAGCTCACTGTGCCCCCCCAGCCTCTGGGAGCACATGGTATTCATGCTTCTGACCAGCCTTTTCCCCAAAGCATTCATGCATAATGGCTATAAAGACCACAGTTATGGTCAAATTGAACAACCCTTTGAAAGGGGAATAACTATTTATGAATGGTCTTACCTTTAAGATGCTCATTTTCCGCCTAATCCTCAAGTGACATCAATCTATGTAGCTCCATGGATTTTAGTGCAGCTACATGGATTTGCACCAGCCGAATATCTATCCTCATTGCTGTTACATTGCAACATTCATGGGACACAGGGACTGGAATAAGAGAGAGAGAGAAGGATATATTACATGGATGAGTACTTTGGTTGACTAGGTGTGTTGCATTTTTTAAATCTCACTCCCCATCACATAACTTTTCTTATGTCGTACCATTTTCAACGATATATTTTTTCCCCTTAGGGGAAAACATGTTAAGGAAGACTTGATGATAAACTCCCTGAATGATTAAAGGTGTCAACGTAATGCAGGGTATTAGCGTAATTCCCAGTTTCACTAATTATGGTCATTAAGATCCTGAATTGGAAAATCATAATGTTGCTTAATTTCTACAAGGATAAATAGAAAAATCACTGTTTTGTTTTCATAACAGAAAAGGCCATCTAATTGGCATGGAGAACCATGACCTCAGCCAGAAATTGATATTGCAGCAATTTTCTTTCTTGGGAATAAATTATTTTCCCTAGTAATGGAATGAGGCATGCTCGATCAATGCTAGAAAAAAATGTCTCCGGATTTATCCTGTTATGACTTATGAAGCAGAGCTCTATTATTCACTAACAATGCATCTTCTGCCTATATTCCTACAGCACTTTCTGTCTGAGCATACCAAACTGCTTTCTCTACAGTAACGTGGTAAAGTAATGAAGTTGTATTAGCCTTGATGTTACAGATAGTGGGCCAGGTCTTTAGGTGGTGTAAATCAACAGTACTCTATTGATTTAATTGTAGCCCAATTGCTTTACACCAGGTGTTCACTAGGAATACTGAGGGAAATATGTGCATGCAATCTCTCTCCATATTTTTAACTAACTCTGATATTATTGTCTGGCAATGTCCATGAATTTGGGGGGCGCACCAATAATTTACTCCCCCTTAGAAAAGCTGTGCTTCTGCCTGATCCTCCTTCTGTTTTTTAGCCAGACCCCTTCCGGTGAGATTAATGCCCTGCCTTTGCTTCCTTTTGCCTAAACTGTGATCTTGGTGTGAGAGCTCTCCTGGTCTCACCTCCGCCTCCCATCTTCCTCGAGCTTGACATTGCATTAACCCTTCCCTGCGCTCTAACACACATGCCTCCCCCAAGGAGCCAAGATCACACATCAGCAACCTTCAGTTGCAATCATAGTAGTTGCACTTAATCACCAAGTCATAGTGAAGCCCTTTAAGAACTCAGACTGATGTAGCTTTCTGGGCTAGTTATACTCAATGAACTGAATCAATGAATGTAGCCAAGGGTCATAAAATAAGTAGTTTCTCTCTTCTTACTATGGCAGAAAATAGGTAACAAATAGTCACTGAGAAAGTCCCCTTTTAGTTTGTAGCAAATTATATCACTGTGTTTTAATATGAGAGGTGGAGAACTCTTGCATACTTTCTTCATCTGATGAGGTCCAGAAAACATTATGTTGGGCTTCCCTTAATGAAGCAATTAAGTCTTGGAGTCAAGTTCCTAAAATGCCCATTGCACTAATACATACCCCAGACGGAGGTTAGATATTCAGCTCATCCACAAAAAGGCTCTAAACATGAAAGAAAAAAGAAATGCCATTATCCAAACCCTGAGCACTTAGAGAAGATCCCCTTGTTTCTATTAATTATTACCTGGTAAATTATTCTAAGTGGGAATAATACAAAGGGGTATTTTATAGATACTTGTTGTGTGTACAGGCAGGACCAAAGTAAGATTCAGAGTAATGATAATGGTGTGAAAATGTGGTTCTGTTCCATTCGATGAAGGGTGTTATATTTAATATACAGCTGGAATCTAGTAAGCACATAAGCTTCCATGGATTTAAACTAGAATATCTTCAGGGTTTTCATAATAAATTTAATACTTCAAAGAGGCATTGACTAATGGCTTTCAGATATTATAAGGCAGACACTTCCCTATAGGAAATCAATTAAAGTTGAATCTTATTGATTTTAACCCATTTCTTCATACAGTTAAAACCAAGCTTTGAACTCCCTTTGGAAAGAATTCTGTTAGTCTATTCTGTTACATGGCCAAGGTAGAAATAATTTCTAAATCAGATCAGATGAAAGAAAGGAAATATTCGCTTAATGGTTTTCTCCGTTTTAAAAACCAACATACTCTTTTTCATGTCACCTACTGTAGGTGAGGAATTATAACCCCCTGGTATTTGGAAACAGTGAAAGCCTGCAAATGGATATAATTTTGCACGCACAAATCTTTAGAGCTTAAATGGGATTTAAGTGATGTATGGACCTTGTGCTGGTCCCCTGCAAGGGGGTGAATTTTATGTGCTCCCTGTCTCTACCACTTGCAAATACAACTTAGAAGACAGGTTGAGTCTAGATGATACTTCAGCTCAGAGCCCGGTGTTTTCTCTATCATCTTAAGAATGATATCTTCATTTGCAGTAGGTTAAGAGATGACTGCCTCATGGTCTACAAGTACTACATGGAGAGGAGATTTCTGGTAGTGAAAGGTTCCTTAATCTAGCAGACAACAGTGTAACTATACTGGGCTGAAGAGAGAGAAGATCAGGCTAGAGTGACAATGTTCATAGATTCATAGATTCATAGAAGTAGGGTCAGAAGGGACTTTGTAGATCGTCAAGTCTGACCCCCTGCCCGGGCAAGACAGAAAACCAGGCTCAAATGACCCCAGCCAGGTAGATGTCAAGCCTCCTCTTAAAGACCCCCAGGGTAGGAGCCAGCACCACTTCCCTTGGAAGTTGGTTCCAGATCCTAGCTGCCCTGACTGTGAAGTAGTGCCTTCGGATGTCTAGTCTAAACCTACTCTCTAACAATTTGTGGCCATTATTCCTTGTTACCCTGGAAGGCGCTAGGGGGAACAGGGTCTCTCCCAAACCCTGCTGGTCCCCCTTAGAGAGTTTACAGGTGGTCACCAGGTCACCCCTCAGCCTTCTCTTGTGAAGGCTGAACAGGTTAAGGTCCCATAGCCTCTCTTCATAGGGTCTGCCCTGCTGTCCCCGGATCATGTGGGTGGCCCTCCTTTGGACCCTCTCCATGCTGTCCACATCCCTCCTGAAGTGCAGCGCCCAGAATTGAACATAATACTCCAGCTGCGGCCTGACCAGTGTCGCGTAGAGGGTGAGGATCACCTCCTTGGCCCTGCTTGAGATGCATCTGTGGATGCAGGACAAGGTACGGTTAGCCCTACTGACCGTGACCTTGCATTGTCAGCCCATGTTCATCTTGGAGTCAGTAATAACTCCAAGATAGCTTTCTGCCACCGTGTTCTTGAGAAGGGAGTTTCCCAGCTTGTAAGTGTGCTGCTGGTTACTACTGCCCAAGTGCAGCACCCTGCACTTTTCAGTATTGAATCCCATCCTATTTTCATTAGCCCACCCCTGTAACCTGTCCAGGTCCTGCTGTAATCTGTCCTTCCCTACTCGCGTGCCCACCTCACCCCAAATCTTGGTATCATTAGCAAATTTAAACAGACTGCTTTTTACCCCATCGTCCAAGTCACTAATAGCGAAATTGAACAGTGCGGGCCCAAGGACCGAGCCCTGGGGGACTCCACTGCCCACTTCCTTCCAGGTCAAAAAAGACCCGTCCACCACTACCCTCTGAGTATGACCCTTCAGCCAATTTGCAATCCATCTGACTGTGTAGGCATCAATGCTACAGTCCCCTAGCTTTTTGATGAGAATTGGGTGGGAGACAGTGTCAAAGGCCTTGCTGAAGTCCAGAAGGACTACATCCACCGCAACACCTGCATCCAGTGATTTTGTGTCCTGATCGTAGAAGGCAATCAGGTTGGTCTGATAGGATCTGCCCCTAATGAAACCACGCTGGCTGCCCTTAAGCATCATCCTTGCTTCTGGCCCATCACAGATGTGCTCCTTGATGATCTTCTCAAAGAGTTTCCCCAGGATTGAAGTAAGACTAATGGGCCTATAGTTGCCCAGGTCTTCCCTCTTCCCTATTTTGAAGATGGGGACCGTGTTGGCTTTCTTCCAGTCATCTGGCACCTGTCCAGAGCACCACAAGTGCTCATAAAGCCATTCCAGGGGCCCTGCAATAACCCCTGCCAATTCCCTCAGTACCCTGGGGTGGAGAGCATCTGCACCTGCTGATTTGAACACATCCAG